TAGTCCGTCGAGTACCACGACGGGTCTTGATAAACGATTTACAACAACCAAGATCGTACATGATTCAACATACATGCCACATATTACATAAAGTTCACAGATACATTTTCATCATCAGAGTATGAAACTAGTTATAATAAACCGAGTTTGATAGATAAAGCGGAAGCAATTAAGTTCAAAAGTAAAGTTTTCAACATAGTTTGATACAGTGTCAAGATACGATCACGGTCCACAAAAGCATGTAGAAGGATTAATAAGAAGCCTGCCCAAGGCTTACTCCTCATCCACAGCGGGATAGAAGCAACTCTTGCAATAACTATGATACACAATGCCATCTGCAACATGGGAAATAAAACCCTGAGTATAAGAAGGTACTCAGCTAGACTTACCCGTCATAAACCAGAAATAAAATGACTCCAAGGATTATGCAAGGCTGTATAAGTGGGGATAGCTTGACAATATTTTGCATAAAAGCGAATAACTTAGTTATACAATTATGGTTCCAATATCAGGTTAATTATAAATATCCATCTCTAGATTAGCAACTATCATGTGCCAAACATGTGGTATATCCATTTAAAAGCATACAATAGTAACCATAGCAGGTATTACAATTCTATATTCATCCGAACCATCATGTTCCATAACACAGTTACTACGATGTTGGGACTAGCCAAGTTTCTCACTATCCGGGAGAGACGGCGATTCGAATCGATTTCAACCAGCTGGGAATTTATTCCTAACACAAACCCAGGCATACCGCGCGAAGGCAGCCTTAGGTCACCTTTGGTACAACTTAGGTACACATTTCATGGGTCCGTACCGTGCCACACAGTCTGGGACACCAGATGCCAGGACGTTTAGGCCTAGCCTGCCCTTGGTCTCAGTCTGATTGCCCCCGCAAGGAGCGCACGATAGAACGGGTCCCGGCCTGAGTTGAGCTACTCGGCTTCACGGTCGGAACGAGTTATCCGGCCAGCTAAGTGATAGGCATGCGTTCAATCTTGTCAGAAGCACCACCAACGGCATGGTCCTTAATCGACACAGACGGGGATAGATCCACACCCAAAACCTCCATGTCTTGCTGCTTCTCTATCGACATCCCGCCCGGTCTCCATTTATATTACCCCATGGTTCTTTTTCACGATAGCAAATATAGTCAACCGTGCTCCGGTATCCACCTATATCTCGCAGGTGACAGGAAATCACCCGACTTCTACCGGTCTAAGCATGGCTAAGCATATATTCGATCCTGGACCTATACCGGTTAAAGGTGTAATATCTGGACAAGGAATTTATATGCATCAAGTGGTTCCATTCAACTCTTATAACCTAATGCATCAATCATAAGTACTTAAGTAATCATTTGTAAAATACTGGGAGACTTAGAATGCTCCGGGGCTTGCCTCGTAGAAAGAAAGTAGGGTGGTGATCAGGACACTCCGGAAGCTCTTCAGGATTCTGCTCCTCATTTTCGGGAGCTGCGACTTGATGATTCTCCTACTGGTCCCCTTTCCCTACTTCGTCGAATTCCAGCAACGTTATTTCTTCCTCCGATCCTAGATGCATGAATATGGCATAAGGTATTGCGAATGCATGCATGCGTACAAGTATAAAATGATGACACATGATGAATGCATTCGTATAAATATTCTTAACAGCATGGTGTTAACAAATACATCATATTTTACCGAGTAGATGCATATCTCTCTTAATTACTTAATCAAACACATTTACAATTCATTCACTACACATAAAACAGCAGCTGCTTGGTTTACTCATAACTGAAGTTCTACTTATCCAAATGCTGTGATATTAGACTTTCTAGAAAGCTTATACAATTGTCTACAACTCTTATTTAATCATCAAAAGCTAATTCACACTTTATCTTAACCAAAACAGACAATCAATCCAGCGCTGTCCAGAAATTTCAGAGATCAAGCAATTCGGAAATGCTAACTTTAAACAGCTATAAATCCTAAACCATTTGACCTATAGTCCTGAAATTTTAACACAAGACACATGATGAAGTTATCTACAACTTTGTTATTAACTATTTTTACAGCAAACATCATTTTTATCATGCAACTCATCAAACTACCGAATCTGTCCGGAAACTATTCCAATTCGCATTATAAAGTAACAATACTTCTACTTCATATAAGTATTCAAATTTTTACAACCCAAAGTCTACCAACAGTTTAAGCATACCAAATACACTCAAGAAAATATCATGGTGAAGCCCAAACTATTTATTTAAATGCCTTTATCAATTTACTAAGATACTTAGGTTAAAAAATAAACATATACCAAATGTGCATCATAAATTCTCAGAAAATTACAGTGGCTTACTAGTGCTACCAATAGACTACTGTAAAAGTTTCATGCCATTTTACCAAGTAAAACATCATATACAAAAATGACAAGGCAGCAAGGCTTGAAATAGCATAAATAGAAAACCCTATTGAAAAGTGTCAAGCAACAGATTTCCTATTTTTCTTAGCATTCATATACTACTAGGATAACCTCCAACAAATTTCATGAATATTGGATTCCTAAATAATTTATAAAAATTCATACAAGGATTACTTATTCATAAAAGAAAAATCTATAACTACAAATCTGTGCATGCACTAGTCCTCAAATTTTTACCAGAGCTCATACATGTCAAGAATAGTTTACCACAAAAATTTCATAATTTTTGGAGCACAGGAACTCTAGATATAAAATAAACAAGTTTACATGCATTCAAAAACATATTTCAAATCTCCATTTAAATCTTCTAAAATTTCTACTGTAAGTGCAAGGATCATATTTTTATTAAATACTACACTTCCTAAGTAACACTACCAAATTTATTTCACAATTTTTGAAGCTACCAAACTGGAGATCTAAAAATTACAAAACACACTCAAATCTGGAATATTTGAACTAGCCCTCAACACTACTGTCGCTGACCGGTGGGACCCGCTGGTCAGAGGACCCCATGCGTCAGTGATACAGAAGCAGAGCAGCGGCGCTGCGCGACGGTTGCGCTCGGTGCGGAGGCGGCGGCTGCTGCGGGCGAGGAAGGAAGCCAAGGCGAGGTGAAAGGCGTGCGCGGCTGAGTGCGGGCGGTAGCTGGGAGTGAAGTAGTGCACGTCGGCCTGCCTTGGCCGCGCTGGGCAGGGCGCCAGTGATGCGCGGCCGCTGCGGACCTCCACGCGGTGCGCGATGCCTGAAGCCGGTCGGGCATCGAGCTCGTCAGTCACTGCGATGTTAAGCCTGACAGCGCGTTTTGGCAGCGAAGTTCCTCACGATACAAAGCGATTCACCGAATGACCCTAAAACAAAAATTGTAGCCCTAAGTACCATATCCAATTCTTGTTTAGAACTCAAACTCTAATTCTCAACCAATCTCGAGTTATGTCTTCCTAAAGTAGGGCTGTCAGTACTGTCAGTCGAGCATGACTTAGAAAAAATTTTATGTGTTGAAATGTTAATTTTGCTAATTCTTGTGATCCAAATTCAAGCATGCTAGGAGCTAAACCAGTCAATGACCCAAACATAAAAAGTTGTTCCTTATATCAAATACTACAACTTTGCTTTAGTGACCACCTCCATGCAAGGTCTCTAGCACCTAGTTCAAATTTTGTCAAACATGTCACATTTAAATGATGATACACTTCAAACTATGGCTTAATGACCTATTTACCCCTAACCATGAATATCAAAGTTGTTCATAATGATACTCTAAACATGTTTAGGCTAATTGCAAGGTCATACAATCATTTTATGTATTAGTCACTCATAGAGCTATTTAGTGTAATCACATGAAACATGACTTAAGGGCTTGATCATGGGAAGTGACATTCATGAACAATGTTCCATTTGCTAACCTAAGTGTTGCTAACATGTTTTTGTGACTTATATCAACCAATCACATGTATACACTCATAATCATATGCATATTCACCTGGAGACATGAAATAATGAGAAAAGTTGCATACGTTCAAGGAAACATGCGATAACAAGCAAATGTTGCAGATGTTTCGATCCAATGTTTCAATTGTAAATGCTTGTTTATGAATGCTTGATGATCATGCTCATGTTATGCAAGTCAAGTTATGCAAGGCTAATACCTAGGGTGTTACACTCGGTGCCCTCCTCCAGTGCCAGCAGTCGCGCGGGGGGCCGTCCCCCTCCTCCTGCGCCGGAGGCGCACGGGACCCTATCCCCTCCCCCCAGCGGAGGCACGGTGGCGGAGCTCGATGCTGTGGCTCGGTGGCGCGGCCTCCCGTCGAGCTCCAGCGGTGGCGGGACTTGGTGGCGCGGTCCCCTTCACCTTCTCTCCTCCGGCGCGCTGCTGGAGGCCGCATGAAGCACATGGTGGTGGCCACCACCAGATCCGCGCGAGGATGAGCTCGATCCAGCGAGGACCAGCCCAGATCTGAGTGGCCACCACCAGATCCGGCGAGGACGAGCCTGGATCTAACAAGCGGGTGCGGCGGCGAGGATGAGCTCGATGCGGGTCGCGGGGAGGCAATACTACGAGCGGCACAATTTTTGTTCTCTCAAAGTTTCATGCTATTAACATGTGCAGGCATTTGTATTATTGTATTTAACTGTTTATTGGGTCATAGTACTATAGTGTTTTTGTCTAGTTTTCATTTGATTCATATAAAAGTGTCGTTAATTCCTGCAGATCGTGGTTGGAAGGAAAGGATCAGAGCTTCTGACCAATGATGCTGGTGAAATCACAAGGCAAGAAATATTGCTTGCCTTGCCTGTGGCCTGTGGTCTGATCATTATCTAGCTTATTTAACTTTCCATCTCTGTGAACTGTGTAGTCATCTGCAGGGTATGTTGAACCGGACAGTAAGAATGTTAGAAGCAGGGATAAAGCCCGTGTAAGCTTCTTGCATTCCTGTGGTCCTTGTCAACTATTTGCAGTTAGCTTACTTTTGCTGACTGTGCTGAGCTTTTATGCTAGATTTGTTTTTTATGGTGAGTCACCTGAAATGAAGAAAAAGGAGCTTGCAAAAAGGTATGCGTCAAATTATTTCTTTGCTCATATTCACTATTAAATCTCAATACACACATTTCTGATATTTGCTATTATTTAGGTCCTTGAAGAGGGATGATGCTACCCAAGATCTTAACAGAGCTATGGAGGTTGGTCCTCAATGTAGTTTTAGAGCTTTCTTACCGACCTTGTTTATCTTTTTCATTGTTTTTGATGGATTTCTAAAGTGCCAATTGCATTACAGATTGGGGATGAGGATGCAATTGAAAAATTTAGTAAAAGAACTGTCAAGGTAATGATCATACTCTTTCAAGAAATAAGCAATGAAAAGTGTCCTTGAATTTATATCAGATGAAGCAACCTTCTAGTCTTGCATGAAAGATGTCATTTGGAGTCTCTTTAGCAAAACGGTTTAAGCCTTTTAAGCAAATTGAGAGTGTTAGTACTATTTTTTGTTAACTTGTGGAGTCATTCTGAGCATGTACTGTGATTTCTGCCTTCCCTTTCCAGGTTACAAGAAAACACAATGATGACTGCAAGAGGCTGTTAAGATTGATGGGCGTCCCTGTGGTTGAGGTATCATTATTGCTTTTGTCCATCTGTCAGTTAAGTTGTTTTTCTTTACTTTTCTATACAGATCAGCTACTGCCGTTTATTGATGTCTTCTTCCAGTGCCAAGGGGGGTCAGTAGAATATTGATAATCTTTTGAACTTAAAGAATGGTTTTGCACTAGGATGCTTTAAGCGTTTGGTTAACTCCTATTTGTATGGCTTCTCAGACAGGTTTAAGCCATTCCCTCTGTCTTGTATATTAGCATTCCTGAGATTTTTAGCACAGATTAAGCATGCAGGGAAAACTTCGATGCTCCTCTCTAAAGCGCTTGAGCCTTGGGAGACAATTTAATGAGGGCTGTTTTGAGCTTGTGACCGAGGTGGAATATTCTTAAAATACATACATATCTCTAGACTCTACATATCTCTAATAGTATACAGTTTTTAAACACCATAGATACATGGCCTGAGGGACTACATTTCAAGTTGAACTCATGAGTCAGCCCTCTAGGTTCATGAGCTTAGGGCTCTAGAAACTTTTTAGGTAAGCTTAGCCAAGTTTCTTGCTGATGGGGATTAAGCAGATGGCTTAACTGAAAATAAGATGTCTTTTTGGTATCGATTTAAACTTATTTGCTGTTAAGATTGGGCTTTAACTAGTACAAATAGACCATTGCTACGCATTGCACACGTTGATATGTAAACTTTGGCAATCAATAGCTGCCCACACATGATATAGATATTATCACTACGGAGAAAAACACAATTTGATTTTTTTATCGGGTGCGGGTGTGATTCTTCTGTCTGGACCACATTCTGTACTCTGATTTGATGGCAGCAATGCAAGCATGGTACCTGGTCTTTGTGATCTCGTACTGTTATAGAATCATAGGTAATAAGGTAAAAGACCACAAATCCTTTGAAAAACTAGCCCAAGCCGTGGAACCGGCATGTAATTGGACCGCTTCTACCTTTTTACGGAATTACACGTAGCTCTCCTGCGTGTTCGAGAAAAAAGATAATAAGTAATTAAGTTTCCTGATCACTTCCACAGGCACCAGGGGAGGCTGAAGCACAGTGTGCAGCACTTTGTGAAAATCACCAGGTATACCAAGTTAATTCCTGTATCTTAGCATAATTTTATTTTTTATTCCATTCTGAGTTGTGAATGCCAGGTTTATGCTGTAGCTTCAGAGGACATGGACTCACTGACTTTTGGTGCCCGAAGGTTTCTTCGTCACTTAATTGACCTTGGTTATAAAAAATCTCATGTGACAGAATTTGATGTGTCAAAGGTATCATCACATATTTTCTTTATCTTCTTTTATCCTATAGTGTCTTAGCCATTCTTTATGATTTTCCAGGTTTTGGAAGAACTTGGACTCACGATGGATCAGTTCATTGTCTTAGCATTGTTGTTTAGCTGTTAACATCTTTAGCTATCTAGGCAGCATGATAGCATTTTATGGTCAGTCGGACCAATATTTATGTTGTAGAGTTTCTCATCTAACAAGTTAGCATTAAGTAATATGTTCATTGTAGTTGAACCAATACTCATGTTGTAGAGATTTGAGTTTCAGTACAATCGCAGAAGAAGATAAGTCATGATGGAGTTGTGCATGAAAAATATATGTTCTAGTCGAATTTGAATTGTAAATTTGAATTTTTTTTTTGAACGGAAAAATATACTGTAGGGGCGGTTGGTACTGTAACCGCCCCTATAAATCGATTTATAGGCCGCCCCTACAAATTGATTTGTAGGGGCGGCTGATAACACCAGCCGTCTCTACAAATCGATTTGTAAAGACGGTCTGGGAACCGTCCCTACAAATACATAATTTATATAAACAGTATGGTAGAAACGGCTGGCTGAGCCGTGTCTACAAATGATGTTTAGCCGCCCCTACAAATTATTATTGTAGTAGTGCCGGTGCTCGTCCAGCTGCCTAATCAGGTCGGAGCTCGCCCCGTACTACGCCTTCGGCCTTCCACAGGCTCCCGGCGTCCAGGAGATACATGAACGTCATGTGCAGGTCCACCAGGAACACAGTGGCGAGCGTGGAGGTGCCGGCGTTCATGGCGATCCACTACATCAATGCGTACGAGGAGGAAAGCAAGGACAACAACAGTGCCGCGGTCATCATCGACTGCTGCGACCAAAGTTTTTGATGTTTTTAGAAGTATTTTTTGAAAATGACTGGAGATGGTCTTCTTTTTTTCTACTAATATCTTTTTAGAAATTACAAAACTACATATTTTTGGAAAAGAAAATATAGTATACTCGTCGAGATGCTCTTACGGACCAAGCATCCAAACATAAAATAACATAATCTCTTATACGCTGATGGGGCGAAAACGCCGAACCAAACAGCATGTTAGTACGATGCCCACTTGATCAGCCCTCTAGTACTTCACCAGTGAAGAACTCGTCACATTACATAGAGCAATCCAACGAGAAGCTGAATGGCTCGACGTTGCACAGACCAATCCAACGAGAAGCTGAATGGAATGAGCCGTAATGATTTTCCCCCGGTTCCTACACTACGTGAGCACCTATCTATCTATCCCGTTCCTCCGAGAAGCTAGGGGGTGTTTGTTCACTCTTTACCTCCTAAATTTAGTCTCATTAAGTCACTTTTACTCAAATACTACAATTAAATAGACTAAAAAGTGCATTAGCTAACTAGTCACCCAAGTGTTGCTAAATGAAACTAAAACTCACCTTTTAGTCAGGCTGCAAACCTTTTAGTCATTTTGCAGTCAAACACCCTAACTAAAAAGGGACTAAAAGGCCTCTTTTAGTCTACCAAACCAAACAGAAAGGTGACTAAACTTTAGAAGCTGATTTAGGTGACTAAACTTTATTGTAAGCCTCTCATTTCCTACATTAGATGTGTTGGTGCTTTATAAGTAGTCAGTCTTAGATATGCAGTAAAAGTTACCTATCTAGAAAATGCAAACGGAGATTTCGATTAGCGCAGTGATCCCTCCGATATATATTGTTTATAGACAAGTAGATTTCAAGAGAAGCTTCATCTTCTAGTCCAGACTAAAGCAAACATGTGCGGAGTTTTTTAAATAGTATAAAGAAGCTTCAAATAACTTCAAGTTTGATTTGTCGGAGATTTGAATCTCCTTCAATCTCACTCCAATCACCATCAAACCAAACAAGCCCTAAAGGAGCTGCCTGACGAGCTCGCGGCAGGGTATGAGTAAGCAAACAGGCACTGCCGGGCTCTTAAAAGCTGTTTGTTAAACATAACGTCTATTGGGTGAACCAATTGACCGCGCTGGTTGGACAGGGGCAAAAACGGAATTGTCGGTCTTATTGGTCTCCCATACATGAGCCTTTGCCAAGCTCAGAATTCAGAAATCTGCTGAACAGTAAAGATTTCGATCTCACAGTTATCTCTGTACATACATGACAATAATAGATACATTATACAAATTACAAATCCAAAACCGACATGATTCTAAGCTAGCAACGAAAGCTGGTTCCTGCATCTGCATGACTGGCCAGCCCAATGGACTTCCACAGATGCCGTCGCGGACCTATTCTAGTTCATCTCTACTGTAAGACTGTAAGGCTGTAAGTGCTACATAAATCAAAAAAGTGATGTAAAAGTCAATCTTCAGCTCTAAAGTGGGGACTAAATAGACATGAAAATATATTTGTTTAAATTCAGTATGATATATATGGCATACCTGGTTGTTTGACTACAGAGTTTTCATCCCTGCTATTTGAACAGCATTATCAGTCAGATCCCTTCAATTTTCTAGGCCGCTTGGACTGGGGTGGTGATGGAGGCGCATCTATAAATCTTCCAGTGGTCTGGCAAAAATGATTTGAGATGAAATGAATCCATAACATAGTTAAAAGCAGATGAAAAGATCAATTGAACTCATATAGGTCCATAGTAGTAGGAAATACTAGGCATCCATTAAATTGTCTGTAATCTAACAGACATTGTAGAAACAGCATGGATACTTCAATTCAAAGACATGCATGTACCATAAAAGAAACCGAGTAAAGTTTAACAGCAGAATTAAAGTTTAAAAACAATAAACCTTCCGCTTGTGGTCCCGTTTGCCTGCTCTTTCACCTGATGTCACATGAAGCAGGATAATGCAAAATATTAATAGGCAACCCCTCATATTGAAGACGGAAGGCGTAAAAAACTGAAGTGTCTGCTTTTAAATACCTGTAAACCCAATTGTATCATGGATGAAGGGCCGATCAATGTCCCTTTTAGAACGCTGCAAATAAATACACAATAATGTTGTTAAATAGAAAGCAACTAATGTTTGGAACCTGATAAGGCACTAGCCAGCGAGCATAACTATTACCGCAAAAAAGGGGAAACATATTTCACTGTCTCAGCAATAATTTTCCACTAGACCTTTTAGATGGTTCCACTAGACATTTCAGTTAACAGGATATTTGGATCTTGAAGTGCTGTGAATTAACATATATTGTCATTGTTTTGCACAACCCGTTAATACCCCACTAAGCTCTTCATATCTTCTATCAAGGAACTACTTGAGACAGCCACATAACTCTACGACAGATTAGAACAAGAGGAAGCCTATTTGCATTCTGACGTATCTATTCTCCAAGGTTTATGACTTGAATGACTTCACATTATCTTACAACAGTTCCACACTGATAAAAAGAAGAAAAAGGCAGGTAATTCATATATTATATTATATACCTTAGGTGTGCTTGGTGCCTCTGTGAAGGAACTTTCCCGGTTAGCTGAAACTTCAGCCTCTTTAGTTTGCAGCTATTAACATAAAAGACATGTTAGCTGAAGGGAAAGAACAAATATTTGAAGATATGCTTAGTTTCCCCCTTTTTCCCTTCCCATCTTATTCAACAGGTGCTTCGGAAAAAAGAAGATAAAAAATGGGAATCAACACTTACCTAATGCAAATTTAAAAGTATATGCAAGTTGCAAAATGCTAAAGAACATGGATGCTCAGGCTTAAAAAATGTACCTGCTTTTGTAGGTTAAGCAATGTGAGTAGCTCATTCCGCAGTTCAATATGTTCTATGCAAACTGCTTTCGTTGGAACCTTAGGCTTCAAATTCACCTAAAAAAGGTGGTTGCTGAAATATATTTATGCCATTTCACAAATTAATTTTGTGTGCATCTAGTACAGAACGAACCCCTAGCTCTTGTAGTGTCTGATCAACCCTTTTGATAACTCTAAGGCCAGCTGAAGCACCTACTGCTTGAACCATTTGGTCAAGGGCATGGGTTCTCAAATACACTCGAAGCTGAAAGAGAAAGTATACAGGTCATATGCATATATAAGAAAAATGCAGATAGATGTACAATGTTTACACTGAGTTAACCAGATAAGGTGAAAAGTGGTCACCAGCCACCAGTGGCATATTAATAGTAGGTCTATTTGTTCTGTGTTTACCACTAAGAGGCAGGTATATTTCATAGAATCGTGAAAACACGCTATTACAATCATCTTTCAAAAATAAATAGGATCTATTTGTATTTAATGATTTATACATTTGAAAGGAAAGGCGGGTCTACTTAAGCCCATAGAAATGAAAGTGGAAAGCTGCACTACTCAACGCATCACTATTAGAACAACAATACAGTTCAGACATCAAATGGATTCATTTTGCACCTGATTATGAACCTGATGCACCATATATCTATAGTTTGTGGCAAAAACATATTTGCAAATGTAGCACCTATTTTGTGCCTTCCAACACAACATCCTTCTTGAACACAACATCAGTAGTTCAGTACTTCTAATGGAAAGCTTGAATAAATTCCACTACAAGGTATGCATTTTCAAAAATGCCACTCGCTGTGAGGTTGATATATGATTCCCAACACCACATGGCAATATGGCATTTATCCAAGTTTCACTTGTGGGTGTTTGGATCCCAGGACTAAACTTTAGTCCTGTCACATCGGATGTTTAGATGCCAATTAGGAGGACTAAACATGAGCTAATTATAAAACTAATTGCATAAGCCGAGACTAATTCATGAGATTTAATTTATTAAGCCAATTAATCCATGATTAGCATATGTTTATTGTACCATCACATTAAGCTAAACATGGCCCAATTAGGCTTAATAGATTAGCCTCACGAATTAGTCACGGCTTATGCAATTAGTTTTATAATTAATCTATATTTAATACTCCTAATTAGTATCTAAACATTCGATGTGACAAGGACTGAAGTTTAGTCCCTAGGAACCAAAGTGGGGCACCGTATTCATGTAACCTCAATGTCCTGACAAAACCCTCATAATAATAAAAATTAAGGTGATATCAGATCTAATGCAGGAATCAACACTGAAAAAACATATATAATTGGATCTTGAACGTATGTGATTTATTCTCCTTTAGATGTCACTGAGTAGTGGTGAGTGCTGACACGGATGCGTAGTAAA